CTTAAATTCACACCCAGTATAAAAATGTGTCAAAATTGGCCTCAAACATCCCTGTGTTTTTACCGATAGATATTTGAACTTATATATCATATATAAATAGTCATTCACGACACAGTTTTGTATAATTTCTGTAGCATAACAAAAAATAGACGAAAATTCGATATTTTCCATTCATACAATTTACTTAGAAATGCAAATAATATATATATACACATATCTTCCTTTACATGGTATAGTGTTTTATTGGGATAAATCGTTAGCACTTGTTAGAAACTCCGTCGTGTTTTTCAAATGGTACAAGGCTTTATTCACTTAACCTATAAGGCAAAGCTTTTGTACATGAAGAGAACTAAGGGTTGAACGCAGTAACCTAAGTGCATGTCCACCGACTCACCGTACATGCAGTCCAAGTGTATACAAGATAGTAAACTTATAAATAGCAAGCCAAACCAGATCTCTTAAACAGTGTAAAAGGAGGGGGGTAAACATTATCAGAGCGGGGAGTATGGATATCGCACATAATCCTCTTCGAACCTTGCACACTATCCTATCGCCTTTGACAGATGTGGCAACATAAAGTCAAGACAACATTATCAGATACCCCGATGAATGTACTGAAAATATTAGATCATAAATATAGGATTCTCTATAATGGGTGTCAGAACCATTAAGAAGATTTTCAGGAAAGGTGGATTTGACAGACAGAATTCCATAGTGGCTCACAACCATCCTGCAGTGTTTTCAGCGACCAACATCGTTTTCTCAGTATCATTTATATCGATATTGGCAGAAGTTAGAATTCATGGACCATTGGATCGGGTCCCAGTGGCTCAATGTTCTACGAGCTAACTCGCCTTGTAACCAGAAGGTCCTGGGTTCGAACCCCGGTGGGCACGTACTGATGAAGAGTCCCAAACTAGGACGAAACAGCTGTCCAGTACTCCCAGGTTTTCCAATGGTTCTCTAACTAATGTCAGCTCATGATGAAATCCTCCATATATCGATATGAAATAGGACAGTGTGTATATGTCATATAGTTAGTAACCAAAAGATGATGTGTTCAGAGCTACAAGATTTTATAACTCATCATTTTGAAACCGTATCGGATAACTCCTGTTGTGAATAGATTATAAGTTGAATCGATGACTTAATCACCCAGCTATACAAGTTTGTATTCGAAATGCAGTAAGAGTTTCATTGAATTTGCAGGTATTTTTTGGTTACTGAGTTTGGTGGAACACACAAACTAGATCTTTAGCAACTTTCCGACTGAATGGTAAGCAAATACAGTGCAGCTTTCGGTCAATTAAATCGGTCCTCAGAATGTTCTACTCAAAGTTTCACTAGTTTTCCCTGAGATGTTTATAAATTTCCATCATTCTCGGATATTATTCCGATTACCACAGAATTTTTATAACCTGTTTCTCTGATGAGGCTACTTACTGACGATGCATTTTCGCTACTCCCCCATCGTTTGTAGTCGTCATGATGACTTTTGGACATCTTAGAGTTGCAAAGCTCTCGCTCCTCATAATTTCTGACAAGATCAGTCACTTTGCATTCATCAGTTTAAACGAATTCACAGAAATCCACTTGCACTGGTAGTTTCTGGAGTCTTGCATGAGTAGATGCTGGCAAGTGGCATATTTCGACTACATGCATTCATATTAGCAACAGATGGAAGATCTGTGATGGTAGATGGTGATAGGAACGAATAATAAGAAGGATGTAATGAAATACAAAACTGTAGGACACATGAAAACTAAGTGAATATGAAAAGTACACGCTGAGATTCAGTCACTACAACCAACCAAGAAGCCACCACTTCCTTACACAACTCTATTCAACGTCTGGACATATATATTAAAGTAATCTTAGGATAAACTTTATCCCGTTATACTCCTATTGGAACAGAAGGTGAATATGTATGCGTTTCACTATTTCAAATAATTCATTATTATTATTAATTATCTCTCATATGTATCCATATTTGCACTATGCAATCACCGTGAATTTTATAATACCACCCTGAGCGATGGTCATACCACCGAGTAGTTTGTTGAACTTTTCATCTCAGTTAAAGATAACGAGTGATAAACGAATTTTCTTGTCGTCACGAGCTACACTACCGGCCGATTCGAGCATTTTAGCCACAAGATATTTGAAGACAGCTCTCAAGTAGAAAGAAACACCAGGACTGACGCGTTCAGCTTAGTTTCCCTTGCTCAAAAGTCGATCCACACAACCAAGTGGGAACTGAAAACCAGAGCTAGTAGATCTCATTTTAGCCTTAGCGCGAGATTTTCCACCGTTTCTCGCGATCAGTCATGATTTACGAAAGAGAAGAGAAACATGTGTTACTTTAAGATAAGGCGGTCTGAATAATATCGCACCACTATGCTATCCTACAAAACAGGTTCATCAACTCCACAAAGTGGCTTGATCTCAGAAAAAGCTGATGGATTAAGTCATAGGATAAATAGTTCATCCTGATTAACACTTGTGAAGAGATGTCAGTATTTTTCCCCGTCCTATTTTTATCTTTCTAACATTAGTTCTCTTCCAATTACTCTCTGAAGTGAAAATGATAGTCCTAAATGTTTTTTAAAAAGTTTATAGTTTACTTGATTTTGCTGACTAGTAGACTTATATATTCAAGTTATCTTGTATCTCCAGTTGAATGATTATAATGGACAAAAATGCTCTGTCCTTGGCTGACATGCCAGCTTCTAGTGCAGATACTTCGACGGTGCTTGAAGGTTAACATAATGTTATAAGGGTTAATGGTGGCTAGCAATGGAATGTAGGATGTATATGTGTCACTTCATTGTTTATGCTTTGGCGTTTGAAACGATGGCTACTTAGTTCCAATCTCATTCGGGACACCATCAGTCCCTGGAATGCTGGTTAATCCACCTGACGAGTCCTAGATGAGATGTGACGCGCTATCTACCATCAGCCAAGAGGAACTATTATCTTCTAGTTAAAATTTCCATAGTATACAACTTCTATTAACGGTTTACTTTTCACTTTTGAATGAACTCCAAATTATGGACAACCAGATAAGTGTTTCATCATGATGGGAGAGGTTTTAAAATTGTTTTACTCATAACTTTTAAAACGTTACAGCTTATAATTGTTAGGTTTTGAGTTAACCGTATTACAATCAACCGATTTTATCAGAAGTTAATTATGCATAATGTCTAACTTTTGAAGCCATCAAATATTACCTGTATTTTGTCATCATACAGTATTACTTGGAAGCCAGCGATGAAGTTTCATCAGAACTTCGGAATATTTATTCAGTCAAAACACGATGAAAAATAGGTCAGCCTATGTTTACTTTTGATTTCCAGATTTTATCAACCCATTGCCAATGCACTGACATTTTTCAAGTTGGTCTCTTTTTAAGTATAGTCTCTTATACGTGTGAAAAGTTGTTAACGCATACTTTCCTCCTGTATGAAACGACCTGTTACATGCTCCTTACAACGGCTTATCCACAGGCTGGATGAAAACCTACTCAACAAAACCTATCCATCTGTCTTTCACATTTTATTCAGGAGATGAATGTTACACAAAAATAAAGCATTTCATGGGCATTTTCCTAGCATTCCTTGCGTTCCAGGTGGAACATGGGACTTCAAGCTTTAAAATTTCAGTAGCAGTGGCTTTGTTATTTTTACGTGATGGAGTTGTTAGCCCAACACCCAGCCTTCCCTCTCTTCTAAGCTTACTGTAGTTTAGTAAACCAGGCGAGGTTTAAGAGTGTCTCGACAAAACAGTTAGTTACTGAATCAAACCTTTGAAACATGTATTATGATGCATTTTTCTATGCAAACAAAATCATCATTGAATGGAAAAAAGACCAACAACGATGAAGTAATACTGTTTAATTTACTAAGTTTAGGAACTCAAAACTACACTGCACTACACTACACCTGTGTTGTAGAACCATGTTTAGCTGTAACCGATTTTCCTTATTCTCTCCCCTATCAATCTAGATATGATGGAGAAGATTTGTAGCTCAGGTGGATGATTTTGATGTGGTTGTGTTCTCTGAGCTAGCTGGATAGTTAGTTAATTTGCGAAGCTTTCATCACCCCACTACTAGGCAACATCTTCAGCGCATACTTCAATTTGAATTGAAGTGAGCTTTTAGATTTCTCCACGAGTTTATTAATCATCTCTCCCGGTGACCTTGGACGTGATCACTTCACTCAGTTCTATGTCAACCAAAAGACTCAATAGCGAAAGAAGATAAAACCGACATCATCTACAAAATAAATTGTAGCAACTGCGAAAAAACAGTAGATTGGCCAAAGTGGACGTCCCCTTCGTCTTCGTATCCACGAGCATAAGGTAGCCGTCAAAAGACATGACATACCCTCCTTCATATCACTACATACAGACAACCACGGACATCACTTAGATTGGGACAATGTTCAAATATTAGACAGAGGAAACAACAAGAATGCTAGAGAATTTTTAGAAGCCAACCTGGCATTCCAGTGAATCATCAATCAATAGACACATCGAGATTGAGGAAATTTACCAACCGATAAGAAAGAAACCTCACACACAAAGGGTCAAAGTTCAAGTCAAAGAAACAAAGTCAGTTCCAATACAAGTAGCGTAGAATGTGTGAAAACACACAAAAACAACCAATCACGTCCAAGATCACCCACCAGGAGAGATGACTAATAAACTCGTGGAGAAATCTAAAAGCTCACTTCAATTCAAATTGAAGTATGCGCTGAAGATGTTGCCTAGTAGTGGGGTGATGAAAGCTTCGCAAATTAACTATCCAGCTAGCTCAGAGAACACAACCACATCAACAAAAAAACCTTATCAATCTTTCTGAGATATATATATAGAGGGCATAACTGAGGACTTCCTTCTTGAAATATTTTTGCACCTAAGCTATTATACTGGTAGGCATAATAACAATTGACTGTTATGCAAGAATGTGAACAAATGAGAAGTAAGGTAGTATTTTGTATATATGTAGGTACGCATGTATTATATATATATATATACGATGGATATCACTTTTATCAATGAACAATATAATTAATGACCTGAAGATACCAAAAACAGGCGATACACAAAAGAGAAGAAAAAACAAACAAACAAAAACAGAATCGACTGAACTTGAAAGCAATTATTATCAGTTAGATTTTTTGAAACTGTATATACGTATTTTTTTTTAAATGACTGTCGACAAAAGGAAGAAGAACAGGGAACGCATCGGAGAGAAAAAACCAGTCCGCTGGATCAACTAAATAAATCCTCAAGTGTCTTTTTTGTATTTTACCTGTTCTTTCTCCATTAACTCTTTCTTTTTAGAAAAAAGAGGGAGGAAAAAGAAAAGATAAGTAGTAGATAGTCGTAAGAGAATAGACGGGAAAATTAAACAAGAAATTACATAATTAATAAATGTTAGAGTGAATTAATTAATACTCCCTGAGATTAGTAAATTTATAAAGATTTGACACCGTCGGTTGCTTTTTATGAATGAATTAATGAATTAATTAATTAACTACTGGATTGTAGTGAATTCATGATTGCATGATTTCTTTTTTTCGTATGCGATGGATGACAAAAGTGACACACAAACAGGAAAAAAAGGGGATCGAAGGTGACACAGGAGTAAATCGGCAATCAGAATAATATAGATGAAGAGAATTATTTGTCAGACAGAGGAGAATATAGGATCCCAGTCAATAGATGTGTTTTGTTTTTATTATTCGCATGTGTTTCATTGAGTTTTATGTGTGTTGCAAGACCTATTTCATCGCTTCTTCTAACATCCATTCCCATTCAATCGAATAATATGTATGTATAGTCAGAGGAGAAATTACACGATTCAGTGTGTGCGTGTGTAGTTCTTTGCGCTTAAAGATGCTCGGCACAGTACACGCGAACGTAGATAACATGATGAAATAGATATATACTGATGAAAATAAAAATTTACCTTAGGTATACACAGTGGGTAATAATTTTAATAATAATAGTAATTAACAACAATAACTTTACTTATTATGACATAAGCGATAGTGATGATAATCATAATGATAATAATTATGGTAATAATATAAATCGTGAGTGTAATTTTAAGCAGAATTACGAATTTTCAAGCAGGTTAACCAATAATAATAACAATAATAATGAGAAGAACAAGGGCAAGAAGAAACCCAAACGAGGAAAAACTGGGCATGCGTGATGTCATTGTACACCTGATGCCATTGTATACAGATCGCATACAAAAAACAAAACAAAAAACAAGTGCGGTTTTGATGTTTCGCTGCAGAATTTATAGACAGATAGACAGATTGAATCAATTACTGCGCTGTTTGTAACCATAGTTATCCTTTATAGCCGAATGTTTGTTAACGCTGTCACTCTACACACACACACACACAAAAAAAGAAGTGAACTGACAAGAATAGCTAAGAAATTCTGTATGGAATGAAGTGATCAGTACAGATTAAATGATGTTTTGCATATATGAATGGTTCTGCCAAAAAAGAGAAAGTGTAATCACAAGAAGAAATGAAGAGAAGTATATATTCCTCCTCCCCTCCTCACAACAATCTTTCTTTATCCCTGAGTTTAATTTAATTATTGCAAAAAAGAACAAGAGTTGAACTGATCCCTGAGAAATTATATGCTTAAGAAGTAGGAGGAAGCGACAGGGAGGGAGAGAATGACAAAGGGTAATGAAATCAAAGCTGCCGTCCGTTCATAAACAAGAGGAAAAAAGAAATTTAAGAAGTGTCTACAAAGTAGTTAAAAGGGGATGGACAAACACAAACACACGCACGCACGCACTTCTCCACCACCACAAGAAAAATATACATTGATATAAAGTGTCAGTATCTGATAGCAGAGGCTTAATGACAAAGACAGATAGGATACTGACACAATATTGGAAGATACTAACCAATATGAAGAATAACTCTTGAGGATAATAATAATAATAATTACTATTAGCAAAAAAACATGAAACATAGACTGATTGATTAATGATGAAAGCACATAGGAAGAAGAGAACAAAGAAACAAAGAGGCATGCATTCTAGATTATACATTGTAAAGCAAAGACTGATCAATAGAAAAAGTAGGATTCGAATTGATTGTCATTTCATATTTCCTGAGTAACCATTTACTACTTATCATAGAAACTAGTTGACTACAAAATAGCCCCCCCCCTAATGAACGAACCACTACACTGCGTGTGTGTGTGCGTGTATGTATGTGAAGAATGACTTAGAAAGACAAATAGAGTCTTGAAAGGGAAAGGGAGAGAATAAACTGTGTGTGTCACTTGAAAAATTCCATGATGAATAGTGGTTTCAGTAGACGATAGGCAACAACAACAAAAACTCAAAAACCATACGATAATTGTAAACGATGACTTTTCTACAAAAAAAAGTAGATATACTGGTTAAACAAAACACTACGATTGAAATTTTGCTTTATCCGCGTTTTTAGTAGTCATAGATAATTAACTGTATATATATGTATATATGCATAGCGATAATAATAATAATAATAAATATGCAGAACAAGAGAAAATAAATAAGCAAAACAGAACCAGAAAAACAAAAACACACAAATAAACAAATACAAATTGAAACAATGCACTCGTCATTGTCAAAACAGCAAAAACAGCAACAACAAAAGTCACAAAAAAAGAGTGAAAAAAAATGAACAATACCTGAGTTGAGTTTTGCAGATTTTTGATCTGCCCTGAGATAGTAGTAGTGACATAACATAAGCAAACACAGATGTTAGTTAATTGTTAGAAATACAAAATTTCCTGATAATAATTTATACTACTCAACAAACAGTTAGTAGTAATGTGAATCCCTGAGTAAATTGTGTCAAGTCAAAAAAATATCCAGAATTTGGAAATAAGTAGTAATAATAATAATGATAATAATAATAGTAATAGTGATTGTAGCGACAACAGTAATAACAAGTTAACTAGATAATATGCCCATCTGAGCATCAAGTGAAGGCTGAGAACCCTGAGAGAGAGCACAACACATGCTTTGAAAACAGTTTGGAAAGACCCCCGTAACCCATTCTAAACATAGAGAGTGTATACTTCTTATTGATTGAATTTAGAATGATCATTGTTGTGATTTCCGATAATTAAATATCGTCTTGAATGATTATTAACGAAGATGAGGAGAATATATATGTAATATAGTTATAGAGAGATAGAGGGTAGGGGCGGGGGCGTAGGAGAGGAAAGAATAATGACAGTGATACTCCGTCATCAGATAATTCATCACACAGTATAATCCCTGAGCGAAGACAATAAACCAAAAAATAGTGAAGACAAAAAGTCAATACATATCTTTATTCCCTGAGATGATGGTTGATTGTGTAATAGATCGGCTTAGATGAAGTTAGTTAACCACGTTTTGTGAGTGTCTGTGTGGATGGGGTGGGGTGGCGAGGTATATAAAGCTTTGCTTTAATAGGGATTTTCAATTGATTTGGTGACGGGCTGCAGGTGAGTGGGATAAACGGGAAAGTGTATTGTGATTGTATGTAGTTCCATGCTGTTGTTGTTGTTGTTTTTTTGTAATGCATAAATATACTTTGAAAAGAAACACAAACAAACAAACAATAGGTGGATTGGATAGATTAGATGGGTTGTTGGGATTCCCTGAGAATTTGTAGACATGGAAAGGCATACACATGCATATTGGAGAATATAAAAATTCACTTGATTATATATATGAGTAGGCCGATGATTTCCTGTTTTTTCCTCTACTTCGAATGAACAACAATTCCATCTCACACAAAATCAGCTCCGAAGTAAGAAATTTTCTATAAATTAGAAAAAGAAAAATATGAATAAAACATCAATGAGTTGATCAGTGATTAAATACGTAGCATATTACATTCACAGTTAACTGTGTATATATATAAATTACAGGAAGCTGTAGAGAACAAATACTGAAAGGTTAGGACGCATCACCCTACTGGGGATTATAGGTGTGTCCTGCTGAAGACTAGGAAAAAACATCTGTCCAGTACTCTCGGCTGGCTTTTATTGCTTCCCCAAATGATATCAATCAATCGACAAACTTGAAACTAATCAAACGCCTACAAACTTACAGCTGTCCAGTACTCCCTAGGTTTTCCAATGGTTCTCTAACCAATGTCATCTCATGATGAAATCCTGTAACCAATCAATCAAATCCCTACAAACCAATACTTGAATATCAATGAGATGCTCACTGGCGACTTGCCCTATTCAGTAGGAGTTACCTGGGGTTCTAGTGGGAAGTGGTGACCAGTGGGGTGCAGTAGATCGGGTGTGGGTACAAATACTCACCGAAGACATTGGCTAGCGGTTGCTCTATATCGTGAATTGGCAGAATTTAGAATTCATGGGCCATTGGATCGGGTCCCAGTGGCTTAATGGTCTACGAGCTAGCTCGCCTTGTAACCAGAAGGTCCTAGGTTCAAACTCTAGCAGTGGGCGCGTACCGATGAAGAGTCCCAAACTAGGACGAAACAGATATCCATCCAGGTCTTCCAATGTTTATCTAACCAATGTCATCTCATGATGAAATCCTGTAACCAATCAATCAAATCCCTAAAAACCAATACTTGAAAATTAATCTAATTTTGACTAGTGACTGATCATGGGAAAAATTTGCCTGGAGTTCTAGTAGGGGGTCATGACCGGTGGGGACCAGCAAGTTGGCTGTGAGGATAAAACTTGCCGATGACATTGGGTGGCGGTGGCACTAAAAATCGCCAACTGACAGAGGTTAGAAATGATAGGCCATTGGATCTTGTTCCAGTGGCCGAACTGTTACTTAGTTTGCCTAGAAACCCTACAGGGTTGATTTTAAATCCCGGTGGGGTCATGGAAGCGCACTGACGAAGAGTCCCAAACTAGGTTGTTATTATTATTATTACTGTGAGCTGAGTGACTCAGTTACGAAGCTTTCATGAATGAAATTATAGAGAATCCCCGAAAGCTAGCTTAATTTTCAAGTCCGCTCTGAGGAGGCTGTGTAAAATGAGAATGAAAGTATAAGAGCTTAAACAGCAAATGTTAGGTAGCACGACCAAACTCATGATATCTGAATGTGGAGGCTTCTTCCAGCTTTTTTCAACAAAGGAAGGTATAGAAAACACTGTACTAAGAATTCATATTATTATTATTTCCTTAGCTTTCCAATGGAACAAAAAGCTTCTGAGGCACATATCCGCTTCACTATATTCTCTGCATTCATTTTCAGCTGGCTCTGGGATTTGTTTTCATTTCCTCTTCATATGAACTCCCTGGGAATGACCAACTCATCGCTTCACATTCGAGGGCCTGTCGATTGTGTAATGCCACTCACTACTCAACGGTCTGCTTAGCGTATGACGAGTCTATCTAGGTTCCTTTCTGCATGTTAGTTGATCAATCGATTCTTGGTTGGTTTATTGTCAACAATTTAACAAAACTGTATCATTTTATACTACATGATTGACACATATTTAATATGAGACTATCCTCTACAATGGTTCAGATACTCAATACTCAATCATTATCCTTGATTGATGAACTCTTAAACCCTACCTAGTCTCCTAGCCGGTAGTAAATCAAGAGAACCGGGAGGGCCAGTTACCTCATCCTGCAAAATAATACAACAGCACCGCTACTGAAACTTTAAAAGCTTCTAGGCCTTCATTCTAGTCAGAACTTAATGGAATGACCAAAAGGGGAAAAATACTCTACGATAGTGCCAAAGTTTTGATAATTACATCATCAGTGGATTAGGCTGTTGGCTTGCTTCATTTGCCTTTTTTTATATTTTATCCATTTCATTGACTTCAATAAGTAGAGATGAACATTCATTGCACATGGATTGATATCAGTTAGAGAACCATTGAAAACCAATAGCTAGTACTGGATAGGCAGCTGTTTCATCCTAGTTTGGGAATTATCGGTAGTACGCACCCACTGGGGGCTAGAACCCAAGACCTTCCGGTTACAAGGCAAGCTGGCTCGTATACCATTCAGCCACTGGGACCCAATTCAATGACCAGCCCATGAATTCTAACTTCTGCTTATCTGTGCCTATAGCGCGACCACTAACCAGTGTTATCAGCGGGAAATCCATCCTCACTTGCCACAACTTCTCACTAGAACTCTAGGGAACTCCGTCCTGTAGCATGTGACCAGTAGTGTTTAGATTATGCAGACTTCATCATGAGCCAACATCAATTAGAGACTAGTGAAAGCCACGAAGCACTGGATGGATACCTTATAACTCTTAAGTAATGCACACCTATGACTCCACCAGGGATAGAACTCCGAACCTTCAGGTTACGAGACTAAACCCGTTGATCATCCAGTCGTATGGGCGAGAATCTAATAATTCGTGAATTCTATTTATCTTCAATCAATTACATGGAGGATTACATCATGAGCTGACATCAGTTAGAGAACCACTGGAAAACCAGCTGGGAGTACTGGACAGCTGTTTCGTCAGCCTAGTTTGGGACTCTTCATCAGTACGCACCCACCGGGTCAATTAGTGATGTGTCGCTAGCTACAGCCACCCCACCCACCCCCATAAGCTCTATTCCTCGCGGTGGGAGAATGGGTGTACACTACTGAAGGGATCTTGGATTTTGTTGATCTCTTCAACAGTTGTCAGTTTTTCACTGTACTGTCTATACTGAAAATAAATGAAATGAAATGAAGTCTATAGATTTACGTGATGTTGTTGTTGCTTTTTTCTAATTAGAAAAATAATAATAAGCTGAATATATGTGAAAGATTAAATTAAAATACACGCATAAACTAAATCAACCATTTTTCTTTCTTTTTTTGTTTTTGTTTTGTTTGTTTCAATCAAACATTCAGAGTGGATGTTTCTACAACTTTCTCTTTTGCTATTTTGATCTGTTAATTATGAAAAAATGTAGATATATAGATATTGAGATAATAATAATAATAATAAAATATGATAAAAAAAAATTTATAGCTTTCTTACCTTCCTCATTAAATTGATTAAGCGACCTTGAATGGCTACTCAACACTGAGATATAACCGACTACCTACTACTACTACTACTACACAAGAGACTAGCACAAGTCAACATTTTTTTGAGATTGCACTTGAAATATATATACACATATATGTGCAGAGAAATATAATATTAGCCCAAAATACTACAGCCTTATATAAACATATATACATAATGCAATAGTTACTTAAAACTAATTAGTAACTACTATTAAATTCACGAAGAGACAAGTATTTAGATAAGATAAGTAACCATACAAGGCATAATTCAGTTAATAATGCATAATAATATCTAACTAACTTACAAGCAATGATTACAACATTCCATACTAGATAAATAGAAGATATACGTATTGTATTTTTTTATTTATGCGTCCTGTTGTTGTTCACAATTATTCTCATTTATCGGTGATGTTAACGAGTTTACATTTTGACTAGTATCCGGAGTCGATGATAATAGATCTGATTGTGAAGTTGGTGAGGTAGTTGTAGTCCGTTGCTGGTGTAATTGACTCGGTTGATGTAGATCATCAGCAGATACTTCTGATTTGTAATTAACAACAATATGATCATTATTGGCATTATTGTTACTGTTACTATTGTTAGTCCCATTACTACAATTCGTAGACATATTTATCCACATAGGCGGCTGTAAACCATCATTTGTACTAGATGGATGATTAAGACTGGCACTGGTAATAGCACTAGTATTACCGTTATTGTTATTATTATTATTATTGTTGTTATATGCTGTTGGTGTGTTTGAACGTGAATTTCGACTATTCCCCGACATAACAACTGACTCATTCATATTCATATGATGATCAGACTGGTTTTGTAATGATGTCATCCCGGTTGAAGAGATTGTAGAACTGACCACTTGACGCTGATGAGATGATGCAAGTGTCGTCGATGGGCAAGAGAATTGAGGAGATGACTGGAGTGCAGAGATAGGCGTTTGAATCCGTTGATGTTGTTGTTGTGGTTGTTGAGGTGATGCAGCCAAATAGTTAGTTGAAACTGTTTGTGTTGAAGAAGGAGAGCATTCTCTAGAATTTGAATAAGTATTTGAATTAGATGGATTAAAATTCATAGCGGTATCATGATAACTAAATTGTCCGGTAAATCCACGTGGCTGATTGACTGAAGATGAGTCGGAATTGTTAGATGTTAGACTTGTCGATGATGAATATGAGCCTCTTAGATGAGATGAATCAGGAGTTAAGTGTGTTGTATGCTGTTGTTGTTGTTGCTGTTGATGGTGAATTTGATGTTGAATGTTTTGTTTATGATTGACAACATGCATTTGACTGTCAGAAGCACACTGGTCAACAGCAACACCTTGAATTCTATCATTACTAGCATAAGTCATATTTTCATTAATTGAACCAGGTACCATAATAGGTAAGTCTGGCCTATTGTTAATTGGCTGGTTTGGATAGTGATGGTGAACAGCCTGAGGGACGGGTACTGCTGAAGAAGAAGAAGAAGAAGAGGAAGCATAATTGATGCTGGAATTTGTAACTTCACCGTATGGTACAGGTTGTGGGCAAACAGACACAAGATCTGGACACACAGAATATGAATTTCCTGCATGTTGAGCACCAGTAGCTGCAGCTTGTGGAGGCATAGCTGGAGTAGATGTTTCTTCATGTGGAATATCATAAGTTTCAGCATATAATGGCGCTAAACGTGTACGATACCAGTTCTCTCGATACCAACGCATGCACAGTTGCACTTCATCACCAACTGTAGCAACTTGACTGATTACATTACGTACTTGTCCAAAAAGAGCTGGTTCTCTTGATCTGTTACGTTCTAATTGCATACGAAGAGCAGCTAAATGATGATCCTGCATGACGGCTACTTTGTTTGGCTCCATTAAACCATAGCGATCTGAAAGGTAATCATAGAAAATCTACAGTTAACAAGTGTCATTTAGAGCGAATCAATATATACATATATCTATGAAGAATTCTTTGAAGCTGTGTTCAGTGTGTTTTTATTTGAAGGAAAATTGAAGTGCAATACTGTGGATGTCCACATAGGTCATCTTAGGAACTACGACGGATACCTATCGTAGGCGCACATTTGTTCAGGTGACAACAAACAAAAGCATGTAGTCGTAATGTTACCACCTCGTCCGTAACGAAATCAAATACATTTATACAGTGATGTCACCAGGATAACTGACAATTATGGTCAGTGTAGTTCTTAGGATGGTCTTCAAAGTCACTCTGGTATCTTAAACTCAACCAATCTCTATTTGAGCCTAAGATTTATTCAGTCTACAACAGGTCCTTTTACCACAGGTCTTTACGACTCACTGACACCCCTTAGTATTTATTGTCATTCAAAATAGAAGTGTGCTACTAAAACTTGTTTTGTGTCACCAATATGCACCACAAGATGCAGAGAATGATAGCTAAACTGACTTTCTTGGTATATTATCGAGTCATCAAAAAGGGATGTGATGAATGTTATGGATCCTGGGTGTTTGATTTTAGATAAGTTATTCAGCTATCCCCGATTATTGTTGACATGTAGTTCAACAGAACTTAAACGTATATTCCCGCCAGTTTTGTTGATACTAAATGGGATTCTTCTTGCCTTTCTTTTTTTGATTGCATGGAGGATTTCACCATGAGCTGCCATCAGTTAGAGAACCACTGGAAAACCTGGGAGTACTGGACAGTTGTTTCGTCCTAGTCTGGGACTCTTCATCAGTACGCACCTACCGGGGTTCGAAACCAGGGTGCGTAGTGCTGAAGAGCCCCAGACTAGGACGAAACAGCTTTCCAGTACTCCCAGGTTTTCCAGTGGTTCTCTAACTGATGTCAGTTCATGGTGAAATCCTCCATGCAATCAAACAAAATCCCTACAAATCCAATACTTTTCTTTATTTTATCCTTAATCTCATTTATGAGTAATTCGAGAGCTAGAATAATTCGACGACCAGCTTCAAAAACTATCAGCTTCCGAACTTAATAGGCATGTTCAAAAGGTGATTTTATATCCTATTCAGTAATCAAAAAGTCGACTGTTTTATCATTAAAAAATTAACCCTGAACTCTAAATCTCACCAATCCACCAAAAAGGCTAATTTGAACTGGCTGTTTTTTGTTAGCTTGAATAGAATATTTTAGTCTATGTAACGACAAAAAGAATGAATTAAAATGGAGGTGAATGAATCACAGTTACTTACTTGGCTTAGTGATTACAGCGGCGCAACACAATGCTATCTCTGTATCGTTCAACATTAATGCATTGAAATTCTCCGAAAATGAAAATATTGAACATACAACACTCGGCTATTTGAAAAAAGAGATAAAAAGCATTTTAAAAAAACAGACGTCAGATAATGAAGAAAGGGACCACAAGGGTATATTCAAGCATATATAAGTATTAAACTTATGCCTCTTACCTGTCACCCGATAACGAAACATTTCAGTAATTTCCGAACTCCCGTTTACGCAATTAGAAAAAACAATAGATTGAATGGGGAAATATATTCCCTCTCGACCAGTTCCCCATCATCGGCTGGCTCTACATTAATGTGTAGTTTTTTTACATCAAAAATGTTTTACCAATCAAGCGTTTATTTTAGTTAATCAGTTTTAGGCAATGAAATTAAGAGGTTAAAAGTCATCAAAACAATTAACTAATAGATGTTAGTGATAAGTTTTGAAGGGGGGAGGGGTGAAACTTAATTAACTACGGAATTCAAGATAAGTTGATTCTTAGACGTTAGCAACAAGTTATTACATAATCAAGTCTGTCTGTCTGTTTTCGATATAGAACTTTGCACCGATGTGCGGCAGTTCAAGTCACCGCACTCCACTCCTTGTAGCACACAAAGCAACAGAAGAAAGCAGGAGAAATGCATAATATAGACAGTAAACAGAAGTGTGAGAAAAAGGAATAGTAATAACGAAGAACAAAATAGTTTAATTGGTAATCATAAGTCCCAAGGAGTGGATGCATCTGCGCCAGCCATTGAGGACGATTTTGAGCCATATCACCAATTGTTTCCACCCATTGGATTTTACCGTCCCCAACCAGGAAGTCTACACCTTCTTACGTGACTTAAACTAACTGTTGTAGATTTCACTGACTGGTGCCATGTTTTCGTTTGACCGCCGCTAGCTCTTTTCCAGCCTGACCCTATATCAGCTAACATTGCCCGTTGTCGAGGAAGGCGATGACTAGGCATACGTAGCACATGTCCTAACCATCTCAGTCGATGTAATTTCACAGCCTCGTCGATTGATTTCCCCTCCTTACCTAGCACTCGACGCCTAACCTCAATATTGCTCACCTTATTATACCACTTCACACGGGAGATAGAACGCAGACACCTATGATCGAACACAGATAATCTTTTCATGTCTTCCGCTCTCAATGGCCAGATCCCAAAGCCATAAAGGAGGACGGAGCGGACTGTTGAGCAGTACACACGCCCTTTGGTCGATAGTCGGATATCACGTCTACGCCAGAGACGGCGTAAACTGGCATATGCGAAACTAGCCCTCTGTATTCGTGTTGAGATTTCGTCGGAGATCAACCCGTTGGGGCTGATGGTACTTCCCAAGTAAGTGAAGCGGTCAACGTGCTCTACCACTTCACATAATCAAGAAATTTGTCAAATAGCAATGATGACTAAGAAGAATAGGACGACTCGGAAGAATCACGTAAAATACAAACAAGTTAATAGAATTAGCTAGAATTGTAAAAATCAACAAAGTCAAAAGGTGGTTACAAGGGGAGGTGGCAGAAATCGTTTTTAAAAACTTAATACATATTATGTTGTAGTTGGTCATGGCAAAGAAAGGGGCTGTACAAGTTTCTTTAGAACACAAAGATTTGGCTTGTTCAGATGAATTCCGATTGCCTCTGCTAACGCCTAAGAATCAACTTATCTTGAATTCCGTAGTTAATTAAGTTTCACCCTTCCTCCCCCTTCAAAACTTATCACTAACATCTATTAGTTAATTGTTTTGATGACCTTTAACCTCTTAATTTCACCCCCTATGCTAAAATTGATTAACTAAAATAAACACTTGATTGGTAAAATCTCGAACTAATCGAGAGGGAATATATTTCCCCATTCACTCTATTGTTTTTTTTTTCTAATTGCGTAAACGCCGCTTGATGCAAGGTGTACCGCATTAAACCAGAGCTTAATACAAACAAAAACCGAAGTCTGTACAGTAATGAATTAACCATATTAATAATATCTGCATTATTATCACTACTGAAAAGCATTTAGACACTGTTAATAACTTAGCCCAGTACTTGAATTGTTTGCCAAAGATCCGAGTCGAGATTTATCTGAGGCGTATAAGACTAATACACTTCAGCCACTAAGATTCAATCAGTCACATTATGACTGCCAAAATCGGATCTAACGCAGCTGATTTTTGAAGTAGATTAACTAATCCGATATGTATAAAAAATGTAATTTCATTTTATTATGAAATCACTGATTGCGTAAGAGTGTATGTATTGAATGAATAACCGTTGCCATTGCACAATGCTAAATACTAATGATCGACTGACATGAGTAATAGGATACCACTGACATTAAGCATGCATAGTGCTTGCTAGTCAGCTAGATCGAAGTGATCTATACATCGGACGACCGTGTTTTCTCGTCTGGATATGAGCTCATCAGTGATGTACCCGATTTGAAGCAGCTCAGAGAGTTGAATCATTTCAAACCACCCGAATTCTGGACGGCTACTTGAGCGAACTCTCAGCATCAACAATAAAATTCGGATTTTCAATACAAACGTCAAGTCAGTCAGTTCTTCTATACGGATCAGAAACTTGGCCAGTGTGTCACAAAGAATATTTCCAACAGCCTGTTGCAGACCTTTATCAACAACTGTCTTCGTCGCTCTATACTGAAGATCAGATGGCCGGAAAGAACAAGAACCAACAAGAAACTATGGGAACAAACAAAACAAGAACCAATCGCCCAACAAATATACAGGAGAAAGTGGAGATGGATTGGACACTCACTGAGGAGGAGGCCGCTGGGTGACATCGCGCGTCAGGTCAGTGCTCGAGTGGAACCCGAAAGGGAAGCGGCGAGTGGGACGTGCAAGGGTGACATGGAGGAGATCGTGTGAAGAGGAGTTGAAACAGTATGGACTAACATGGATGCAGGTGAAAAGTACAGCAGAAGACAGAAGCAAGTGGAGACGTGCAGTTGAAGCCCTATGTTCCACTAGGAACCCAAGGGAACAATAAAATAAATAATATAACTTGAGCGAACTAGTAATACGTTAAATCGAATTAGCAAATGGATTCACTATTTCACTCCAGAATGTGCAAATAAGAAATCGCATAATGCGAATTCGATCTAACCGTTGCCGTTGTATGCGCTTAGTTCTCTTATATGGGATTAAGTTGGGAAAGAGTTAGCACTGGTCAAGTTCCCCTTAACCAGCCCTGTGAGGAGATGTGGACAGTCTGGCTGAAATCCTTGAGAGTGTTGGTGGAGTGGCTCAAAATCATTCTCAATGGATCAGATAAATTCACTGTTTGTCATCTTCCAGGTCCATAAAATTCTCATTCTCATCGAAAAATTATGTTATTCACTATGGCTATTAAAAATTCCGCATATGCAGGACAGTTTAAACTCTCTTGGTCAATGGTGAAAATTTAAGGACTTAAACCAACTATTATTTGACTATTATTAGACCAAGGAGACGCTCGCCAGGGTGACACTTTATATTGGTGCTCATAAGTTAGGCTTAATTCCCATCAAAATTTCTATCAAGCAATCGTCACAGCTTTGTAACACACAAAGATAAACAAAAGACAGAAAAGAATAGATTAAAAAATTATTATTATTACCATAACAAACAGCAATATGAGGGGGAATAGAAACGCGAAGAAACATGACGGTTTAGTGGATATACAGGATCACACAGTGTCAATCTACCTGTGCCATTGAGAACGATTTTGAGTCATTAGTCTCCAGCTGTTGGTTCTTAGCATCCTAAGGACGCCAACCAGATAGTCTGCACCTTCCTACATGGCCAAAACCAACTGCCGAAGATTTCATAAATTCATGCCAGGTTTTGGTTTAACCACCTCTGACCCTTTTCCAACCTAAGCCAATGTCGGCTAACATTTCTCGTCGATGAAGGCTACGGTTCGGCATTCTCAGCACATGTTCTAGCCGCCTCAACGGATGCAGCTTCATAACCTCATCAATTGACTTATCCAGCTTATCTAACACTCTACACTCCAATCTGAGCACCACTTAACAGATGAGACAGAACGCAAATACCCATGGTCAAGTTTTTAACGGTTACAATCGACACTTCATCTGACTGACTACAACCACTGGTTGTTGTTTAAATTCAATTATCCAAAATAGATTTTTGATTTAACAGGCTATGAGCCATAATTATTATTGTATGAGGGCTGACAATACTACCCCACTGCTCAGGCGCCATGCAAACTTAGAACCCATTGGCTGAAAATCGAATGCTTAATCCAATGAGTCACATTACTGTTTTTTTCAGATGTAAGATATCAAAGACTATAAGGATTCAACTTCCATCCTCACTTTTTTTTCCTTCACGTTCCCCAGTGGAACATCGGGCTTCAAGCTAGTGGCTTGAAGTTTCTGTAGCAGTGTTTATTTTATTTTACAGGATGGGGTTGCTAGCCTCATGCCCAACCTTTCCTCTTTACCAGCATTATTTCTGGCTCAGCGAGGTAAAGGAGTGCGTCCGTGGCCGGGGATCGAACCCCGGACCATGTGCATGGTCGGCGAGCGTCTTAACCGCTATACCACCGACGCACCATCCTCACTTACAAAAAAAGTAAAAAATCAATAAATGTATATTTGAAAAAGACAGTGAGCTGGTGAAATCTTCCATTAATTAAAGTGTAATTGCACATTTTCACTAGAAGTAATTAAGTGAGCATGTGACAGATTATATATAATCCTGAAAGAACTGGACATTAACAGAGAAGTACTCATGCAGTAGTGATATGCCATTATATATATATATATGTCAGAGACATGACAAATACAGAATGAGTCGTATTAAAGTAACGATTACATAATCATAACAAGCACAATGCCACCCATTTCATTAATTATGTTATAAACATATACAAAGAAGTACGCACACACCCTAACATAAATGCACTAATTGACACTAGTACATCTGTGAGTATGTAAAGGTATACGTATATATAGTGACATGCTACTACTACTATTATTACTACTAGTATGACCAATATTAACTGTAACCGTAGTTTTAAGTAAAATCAATTCAGGTTC